GCAGGGACTGACAGGTCATGTGCTCTGACAGTGACCCTTACGATCGAAGGAACCAGGAGACTCAGCCAGGCCAGGCCCTGTCCTCCGCTCTACACACGAGAACTCAAGTCGGAGAAGCAAGTCCGGAGAATCCTTCGGACCTGTCCCGAAGGATTAAAACGGGCCCAGTGGTCAGCACTGCCATCAGGCCCTCACTGCACCGTGTCCGCAGTCCAGGCTTGCAACGTGCCAAACGGGAACGACCATGAATAGAATTAGCGGAGTGACAAGGCCATGGCTGTGGGCCATAGCGGGCTCAGTCGCGTGGTGATTACAGACCGAACAGGGTTTTGCCCCACTTCAGGGAGGTGGGAAGGCTGTTTTGGGAGAGAGGGTAGTGTGCTGGATACAACAGACCCCTCATGTAAGTACATCACTACAGACCATGAACTTGATTTTATCCGTATAGAATTCTGAGTAAAAATGTAACTGCCGGAGGAAGAGGCATTCAGACTGAACTTCCTTATAATCAGTCACCCACTGTTGCTGCTGTCTTGATTACAGCGAGAACATTCCAACTGAGCTGAAGGCACGAACTGCTTCTCCAGCAGTGAGAGCGATCTTTGTGACCAGAACCATCTCTGATAATTGAAGTGTCTCTATTTTCATTAGATGTGGTTTTATTGTACTGTCACAAATTTTTGTAAGTATCAAGTGTAGTATTAAGAGATCTAAAATTATGTATCTCAGCGCCTCAAGAAGTTGAAAATGTTCCACTAAGGAACTTTGCGACTTCATATACCTTTATCGGTTCTTTTACCATATTGTAGGAATTAGGGACTAAAGGCTGGACTAATACACAAGCTGAAGGGAAAAGGAAGATTCAAAAAGTTACATCTGGGGCGCCTGGGTGGCTCAGTCGGTTGAGCGGCCGACTTCAGCTCAGGTCATGATCTCGTGGTTCGTGAGTTCCAGCCCCGAGTTGGGCTCTGTGCTGACAGCTCAGGGCCTGGGGCCTGCTTTGGATTCTGTCTCCCTCTCTCTCTGCCCCTCCCCTGCTCACCCTCTGTCTCTCTCTCAAAAATAAACATTAAAAGATAAAAAAAAAAAAAAAAAAAAAAAAAAGGGGTGCGAGTAGATTAAATAAGACCGATAAAACATCCAACTGCTGAAGCTGGGTGACAGCTGACATTCCATTATACTTTTGTATGTGGATAAAGGCTTTTCCAAAGACAGACGTGAACAGAAACACATCACTGGCTATGCCTCGTCAGTAGGGCAACTACATTTGCCAACACCAAAATTTTCCACCTTTCCTGGTATTAGGGTAATCTTTGTTCTTATAAAGCAATTGGAAATGATTTGATATTTAAGTTTCTAACAAATGAATGCTAAGTCAACTGAGTCTTTGGAAGTTTTTAAAAGTGTTAGAATATTCTTTTCCAAGTTGTTACTGTACGCAGATTTTACAGGTGACACGTTATCTAAAATGAAAGCGCTTCTCAGCGGCTGCCTTAAAATATACTTGTTCCTTGGCGCACGCTAGTTTCGAAAGCAATTGTGTTCTCACAAAGTGCTAAAATGTATTTTCTTGGGGCATGGATTTTGTTTTAATGTCACTTGTCATCAGAAAAACCAACAGATTCAGAATTGTTTAAAAGAAAAATTTCTGGAAGCTTTCTGGAAAGTTTACCAATCTTGTTTCCCACAGAATGAGACTGAATGTAGCAAGCTTCATGACCACTCGGTATCTGATTTAAAGATTCAACCACTTAATATAACCCACAAAACCCCCATCACTAGGAACCTGTAACTGCAGTGTTCTCCCAGGTTATGGGGCTGTGGCCATTGACCCCAAAGGCCTGACACGTGCAGTTTAATGAAGTGCACATTTAAAATCCTGGGCACTGGTCACTTCTTTAAAAAAAAAAAAATCACTATCTTGTTTTAGGTATGTGCTGTAAAGTAGTAAAATCCCATTTTACAGATAACAGGCTGAGTGGTGACACTGGAGAATGCTGTGTTCTTATGGTGATAAGTAAAACCATGTTATCAACCTACAGCTCATCATTAATTTCTGGGTTTATGGCCACAAAGACTGAATTTTCCTTCCTTACATTCATCTGGCATTTTCTTTTTTTTTTTTTTTT